TATCGATTCACTTTTCTTATGTTCGAGTGTTACATAGCTATAACAGGTAATGACTTCAGTGGGGAGGGAGGGAAGATAAGTGACGACGAGTGAGCCGATGCCCCATCCCCCATTGTTTTGGGATGGGTGAGTGGGTGACACAAGGTGTAGTGATAGTTGTAGATCGGCCAATTGCCTGTGTCTGACACTTGTCAATGCCGATGGGTTGATGACAAGCCTACCAATCCCGGGCAACACTGGGGACCAAGCAGCCCAAACCCACCCCCAGCCCAATTGTGGCCCAACCTGATTGAATTTAGGTGAGATCAATGGGCGGGAGGCCCAACCCAAACCCACCCCCGAAGTGACCGGGGCAGAGAAAAATTAGAGTGGGCTCACCCAAACCCGCCCAATTCTCTACCCTAACATAGGGTAGTAGTAATTCAACACTGGGTCTCTACTTTTCGCTGCGCTTATATCTGCATTATCTCAGTAATGTAGTGCACTTGATTCCTTCCCTGATACATTAAGGGCCTGTACCGTAGGGTTCAATTTTCAAAAATGGGCATTTTTTCCATCCTCTACACAAAAACTGGGAACAATTGGAGAGATCTGGTGTTGAAATTCTTCACTTTCATGCCAAAGACTAGCTTCTAGTTATGGTCAATTTTGATAATATAAAATTTTGAGCAAGATAAATTTTGGGAAATTGAATTTTCATGTCCTATGGTACAGGCCCTAACATTGTCTGTAGTGGTCAATTTTTCTTTCAGCCAGTAGTGTAATGGTGAAGTTTTTGTGGGTAATGAATGGATAAAGTAATGCATTTATCAGATTATCCAGAGGTTACGCAACCCTAAACACATTTTAAGTGGCAAAAACCCTCTCTTTTTGAGCTTTGGCAGCAACACATCCCATGAATTTCCAGAAAGTATCACATGTCTTACCAATATTTATGGTTTTTTTTTTTTTTTCAAAAAACAAAAAAATCTACCAGTTGCTGATAGTGTAATGAGCATGAAAAAAAAAATTCCAAGCCAAAATGGATAATGTAATGTGCAAAAAAGTTCCAAACATTATGGGGAAAGTAATGATAATAGGGGGTATCAAATATGACAAAATCCAGCACTTTTTAAATTGACTGGTTTTTCAAAATCCACCATTTTTCAAACATGACAGTTTTTCATTTGACCCCTTTGAGGGCTCATTGATGCAAAAGTTCATTTTTGGAGAATTGACTGGTTTGTAATGGTGGATTTCTTATATTTAATACCCCCCAGAGTGGAAATTTATACAAGAATCCCTCCTTCCTCCTCTCCCTTCAGCCCTATCCCATTCTCTCCCCTTCCCTTATGATCCCAATTCCTACTTCCTATCCCACTTCTTTCCTCCCTCTTTCTCCTGCCATTCTCTATTATACCTCTCTGATAGATGCTGCTGTCAAACAAAAACCCATGCTTTCACTTCTTCCCTTGACACAAACTTTCTGTGCCTTGCTTACACATCCTTTTTTTTTTCTGCCCAACAAGCCTCCTGCAGCAACTTGTATCCTCTCATCCACCCACACATAACACAATGAAATAAGGTCCTGTAATAGCTGCAGGTACATTCCTCTGCTTTCTGCCCAGCTCAGCATGAACCAAACTTAAGCCCC